TATTGCGACATGCATGGATGATCAAGTTCAAACTTCACACATAAATCATATTGTACATGCATTTGTAGCATAATTTATTTCATAGCATAATGTCCAAATGGCAGCCATTTTAAGGCCAAAAATGTATCAAAATATTAAACATATGTTTATCATTCCAGAACCGAATCTCAGTTGTGTATGAATTAACTTGGTATATACATTTATTAGTAACTGTAAAATATTTTATTTTCACTTGGAATTAATTCTTGCTATTTTCGCTAACCTTTTTTTCTATATTTCACATTCAACTCATCAATAATCATTAAAAATAAATTCCATACAAAACACCCAAAAAGTCTTTTCAGCAAAAATTAATTCCAGCTAAAATAAAGTATTTTACAGTATTATGGGACTATGATGCACTATTTTTTGAATTGCATTCCAAATCGCCGATTATTTTTTAAATAATGGATCTTCGACATGCCTTGATTGATCAAGTTCAAACTTCGCACACATACAGAAAAATTCATAGTTACCATGAACTCCCTGGTGTTTTTTTACAGCCACCACCATTAATAGAAAGAAATGGAAACATCACCATGTACAGCATTAATGTTAAACCAGGCAACTTGGATAGTATTATTGATGCAAACAATGGTGAAGAGTATACTATTAAAGGTACAGTTACTGTAAAATGACTAATATTCACTGGGTTTAAATTTCACTGATTTACCATTTCAGGCATATTCAGTGGGTTTTAAATTCATGGTTTTGTCATTTAGATAATGTGTTCTATGCTAAATTTTACATATTCACTGTGTTTTAATTTAGCGCATTTTTCCAGTCAGCGAAATAAGCTAAATTAAAACCCAGTGAATAATTACCCCCTTTACAGTATAATGTCAACTTTGTTCCTTTTCTCTTTATGATACAACAATTACATCATGCAATATAAAATAGTGGATTGTAGTGGAAATATATAGTGGATTGATTTTTTATTGGATTACTATTTAACTGCTGTTTAGTGATGCATATATAATCCAGCTATTAGCCAACTATTATCCAAGTAATAGCCAGTTATTATCCTAGTATATCTGGATATTATATAAGTATTATCCATATGTCATGTATTAGCCAGCTATAATTCAAGTATTATCCAGTTATTATCCCAGTATATCTGGATATTATATAAGTATTAGCCATATTGCCATGTATTAGCCAGCTATAATTCAAGTATTAGCCTGCTTTACCCCAACAATTAGCCAGCTATTATACAGGCATTAGCAAAATATTATCCAAGTATTAGCCAGCTATTATCTAAGTATTCGCCAGTTATTATCCGAGTATTAGCCAGCTATCCAAGTATTATCCAGCTGTTACCAACAAGTATTCACCAGTTTTTAGTCCCCATTTGTACAAAGTCCAAAAACAGGGACTATTAATTTAGGTTCCGTGCGTACGTTTTTCCGTTCGTACCCTTTTCTCAGACACCCTTTGACCGATCTCATTCAAACTTGATAACCTACATATGCATGCCAATTTTCGTTATGATTTGATTAAATATGGCTGACTGGCAGCCATTTTGTTCTTCAAATTTGCTAAATTCTGATACTGTGGAGTACTTTATTTTTTGTTTGGAATTAATTTTCGCTGAAGGATAAATTCAGTGAAAATAAAATCCAGTGAATATACCTTTTCTCCTTCATTTTACATTCAACTTCACGGAAAATAAATTCCATACAAAACACTCAAAAAGCCTTTTCAGCGAAAATTAATTCCAGCTGAAATAAAGTATTCTACAGTATTCAAACGTGTCCGGAACTTTTTTCTGAGCTGAACAGGGTGATTTCAATCAAACTTTAGATGGTGATCACGCATATTGGGTTATAGGTGCATGTCACTTTTTTTTCGAGATTCGGTCCAAAATGGCGGCCATTTTGTTTTCCCCGTTTTCATGCTGATTCCTCCATAAGATATGGCCTGATTCAGTTCAAAGTTTGTACATAGGTACATGTACTATACTTAAAGATAACGCAACACCATGTTTTGTTTTGAGATTTGATCAAATTTGTTGAAATGAAATTTGTTTAATATTAAGAGTTTTATTATCCAAGTATTAGCCAGCTACTATCCAAGTATTTGCCAGTTATTATCCGAGTATTAGCCAGCTATCCAAGTATTACCCAGCTATTCTCCAACAATTATATATTATACATGTATAACAATTATATTGTATATTATGTTATACAGGTATTGGCAAAATATTATCCAAGCAATAGCCAACTAGAGTTTTGTATTCAAGTATTAGCCAGCTATTATTCGAGTATTAGCCAGCTATTATCCAAGTATTAACCAGCTATTATCCAAGTATTAGCTAGCTATTATCTGAGTATTTGCCAGCTATTATCCGAGTATTAGCCAGCTACATGTATTATCCAAGTATTCGCCAGTTATTATCTGAGTATTCGCCAGCTATTATCTGAGTATTCGCCAGCTATTATCTGAGTATTAGCCAGTTATTATCTGAGTATATGCCACCTATTATCCAAATATTCACCTGTTATTATCCGAGTATTAGCCAGCTATCCAAATATTAGCCAGCTATTCTCCAACAATTAGCCAGCTGTTGTACAGGTATTGGCAAAATATTATCCAAGCAATAGCCAACTAGAGTTTTGTATTCAAGTATAAGCCAGCTATTATCCAAGTATTCGCCTGTTATTATCTGAGTATTATCCAGCTATCCAAGTATTAACCAGCTATTCTCCAACAATTAGCCAGCTGTTATACAGGTATTAGCAAAATATTATTCAAGCAATAGCCAGCTAGAGTTTTGTATTTAAGTATTAACCAGCTATTATCCAAGTATTCGCCAGCTATTATCCGGGTATTAGCCAGCTATTATCCAAGTATTCGCCAGCTATTATCTGAGTATTAGCCAGCTATTATTCAAGTATTCACCAGTTATTATCTGGGTATTTGCCAGCTATTATCCGAGTATTAGCCAGCTATTATCCAAGTATTCGCCAGCCATTATCCAAGTATTCGCCAGCTATTATCTGAGTATTAGCCAGCTATTACCAACATATTTGTAGCCACACATACTGTTGTGATTACAATTTTATCACGTAAAATGTCAAAATTTTGAAGACCATTCTTTTTGTCTTTATGTTTAGGATTAGATAGCTATATATCCTACTATGTGTCTGTGAAAGCTATCAATAATGCTGGTACTTCACCTCCCTCAGGAATTTATATTTTGGATAAAACAACAGGTAAGTCACAGTATTTAGTGAAATTGGACGCGTCTGTCAACCAGTATTTTAATTATCTAACGTTTTCACTGTCATAGCATTGTCATACAATGTATATTACCTTAACAGCTCCTGGAAAACCAACAATAACAAATGTGACATCAATAAATGAAGGCACAATTGCTGTATCTTGGGAAGAACCTGATAATCCTAATGGTGCTATTATCAATTATGTCTTGTCCTATGCTGCTAGTCCAACCATTGGTGGAGAACATCAACAGTGGTAAGTTGCATTCTGGGTAAATATTTCTTGTCCTTAGCTGCCAGTTCAACCATTGGTGTAGACTGGCGCAGTCGGGGCGATTAATTTGTTTTTGTAGTTTAAATAAAATTTTAAAAAAATCGCGAAATGGAGGTGTTAGCGCGAAAT